GTTTAGGGTTTGGGTTGTTTGGTTGAGTGAAAAGAATGAAAAAAATCTGAAAAATCAAAAGGGGTGGGGTGGAAATGGGCCGAGTCAAGGGGTTTTGGGTTGGGTAGAGGTGTTTTGGGCCTAAATTTAGAATTGAAAAAGAGGCCCAATTGCGATTTTCTTCTATTTTTTGTTCTCTTTTCTTTTACTAATTAATAAAACTAAAAATGCTAAAATTAAATTATAAAAACCAAAAATTATCTTAAAATACTAATTAACTCCTAATAATAATTATCACACAAAATTAAACATCAATTAAAATAAAATCGCACAATTTGGACATTAAATGCAAGAAATACATATTTTGTGATTTTTCATTTTTGTATAACAAACTTGATTACTCCTAATTGTAGAATTAAATCCTAAATGCAAATGCAACATAGTTTTTGTATTTTTTTGTTACTTTAACAAATAAACATGTCATACAAAAAATGCAAATAATACAAGGAAAATAACAGAAAATTCACAACAATTGCAAACAAATTAAAATTGTTTTATTTTGAATTTTTTGGGAGTAATTCATATGTAGGGCAAAAATCACGTGCTTACAACGTCCCTTTTGCCTGGGGATGCTGTGTTTCATGCCCGCAGGTCCTGATAGACAGGTCGAGAGCCTCCAAGTAGGCTATCAGCTCAGCGGAAAATGTTGGTGTGCCCCATTCACTTCGGAGTTGCTTATTTGGTCAGTATAATTAGGACATGTATTGATTGGTATGGCGGGGCTCAGTCCCGACCTTTATGATACTTATGTACTCTTAGAGGCTTGTAGACAAATCTGTATACGAATACTTGTATGGCCTTGTCAGCCTATGTTTAGAATTTATAAATGATCATGTTGGCCTATTAGGCCCGTATGTCACGTGTATATGATGATGTAATAAGAAAGATACGTTATGTTGGTACTCGATTGGTTAAGGTACCGGGTGTCTGTCGCGGCCCATCGGTTTGGGTTGTGACAGTATTGGTCAAACTAAAAGTGCTTATAAGCTGAAAAGACATAAGTTGGGGTGACCGGCTTATGACTTATGGCTGATTTTTGCTTATAAGCACTTGACTTATAAGTACTTTGGGTGTTTAACAAATACGTGGATAAGCCAAAAGATGCTTATAAGCCAGTTTGACCAGCTTATTATCTTAGCCAAACACCCTTTTATGCTTGAAATTTTATTTTAGGCTAGACTCGCCCAATAATAGTTGTATGAGGCCACGCTATGCTTTTGATAAGTGTATGTGTGGGGGTTCATTTATTGCCATTAGGTATAAACAAAGAAGAAAAAGTGATTTATTGTTGATGTGGATCCCACCTTAAACAACAACAACAATAACCCAGTATAATCTCACTTAGTGGGGTCTGGGGAGGGTAGTGTGTACGCAGACCTTACCCCTACCCTGGGGTAGAGAGGTTGTTTCCAAATAGACTTCCGGCATCCTTCCCTCCAAGAACTTCCCACCTTACTCTTGGGGAGACTCGAACTCACAACCTCTTGGTTGGAAGTGGAGGTTGCTTACCATTAGAGCAACCTCTCTTGTCTAGCACAAGAGAAATGGAGGGAAAGAAAGAAGTAGATGTGTTAACCGGACGGGCTGGTCCATACTGGACACGAAAAAAATAGCCCGTCCGGGTATTGTTCTGGGCTGGGAAATTCCTATCTAATTAGAGCTAGTCCGGGTTCGGGCTTAACGGGTCCGGACCGAGTCAGGTTAATTATTTTTTATTTTTTTAGTATATTTTCTTTTTCTTATCCAATGTTGTTGATACTTAAGTGTTTGCAAACTTTTAAGGCTTAAAATTAAACTTTTAACTTTAATGTTTTAAGTTTTAAATTTAAAATTTGAAAGTAAGTGGCTACAAAAAATTATTTAATAAGACCAATAGGCAAACCCTGCCTTACCTCCGGTCTCATGGCTAAAAGTAAGTTACCCACCTTCCTCATCAAGTTACAAACGAGAGTTTTTTGTTTCGATAGATGGCTCAAAAAATTTCCTCATACACCATATATATATACAATATATTAAAAACAGGAAACCCTTTAATGAAAAGTCAGATTACTATTTTACCCTTCACTTAATAAATTACTACGAAATTGTCCTTTTCTTAAAAATTTACTTTTTTAAAAACAACAAATGTTAAAAGTGGGAAGCCCTTAAGTCAAATGTTAAATTACTTTTTTACCCTTTTAAAAAATCTAATTACAACATGAACCCCTAAATTTAAAAGTTAAATTATCAAAATAACCTTCTTAAAAATCTAATCATTAATTTCTACTTAATAAAAAAACGTAAAAGCCAAAGCTTCTAACCAGAAAGGCAACGCTTCATAAACGCCTTTTGCACCCTGAATCTATCGTTCTCTCGACCAAAAGACAAACACTTCCTACAAATATTTTTCATCTACAGCGATGCAACTGTTTCTTATGGGTATGTTGTTCTCTTTCTGGTTATGTAAGGCTTTCTCTCTTTTTATGTATTCATTAGTCTATATTCATATTTATTATCTATACTGATAATATAAATATATATATCATGTCATAGTGAACCCATTGAATCAGTTCTTCTCTTGTTCTCTTAAAGTTTTTGTTAGTGGTTTAATTTTCGTATACATGTTGTCACTATTGAAAGTTTTCCCCGATGTTATGTGTGGGTGTTAGAGCATATATATATCATGTATGTTAGTTATCAATTGATTCAATATTTTGGGTTTTCCTTCTCTTTTATGTCTTTTATAAATAGGCTTGAGAATTTATTATTGAATGTTAACGCTGCATTTGAACAACTATTTTTGTCCTTATCATGTGACAGTAAACCTTCGTATATAATTTTCTTTGTTAACTATCTTCTTAAGATCTTGCAGTGTCCATGTTACAATAGAAAATAGTTCTCTTTGATTCTTAAAAATTGGTAAAAAGAGAAATGTTTCTGAGACAAAGTTTGATTTGCTTGTGGTGGAAAGTAGTTTTGCCTTTAGTGTGGTATTATCGGGAGAGGAATAGTTGCAGAGAGAGTGTCTTTGCACAAAATATTGTGGCAATCTTACAAGAAGGAATTAATTGCTGAATAAGGCCACGAACAACATTTAGTCTTATGCATTAATTATTGATCACTATTAATAATAATCAGAGAAGTAATTAGTCTTTTTGTAACTTCATTCGTAGATATCTTTAGTAACAATTTACTCCCTCCGGTTACTTTTCATTTTGACTTTTCACACCCATTAAAAAATAATAATTGAAGTGCATAATTTATTATGATGCTCATATTAATTGATGCATATTTTGTTAGATTTGAGAAAGTGATTTGAAATGAGTAATAAATACTGTGGATAAAACAGGAAAAAATTTGTTGTCTTCTCTTGACATGCATAAAGTGCCAAGTAAAAGAGAATATCTATTTTTAGTATACATGCCAAGTAAATGTGACAGGAGGGAGTAGATTTTATTTCTCCTAATTAATACTCCATCCGTCTCATATTAACAGTCATGGTTACTAAAAATAGTTATCTCAAATTATTTATCATTTTAGAAGTTCAAGACAAAACTAATTATTTTTTTTCTTTTTTACCCACAGTAATAATTGTTCTTGAAGAGGGAGATAACACATGAATAAAATAAATATTCAATAAAGAGAGATTATATCTTAAGACATAAATAAGAGTAGAATAGTTTATTCCTTTTTTTTAATTAATGTTTCTTAAGGGGCATATAAAAGAGAAACACGACATATATTACGAGACGAAGGGAGTATTAAGAATGAAATCAATCAAAACCTTGATAAGAGCCGAATCGAAGACGGAATTCACTTATTCGGTGCAAAATATGTCTGCGCAAAAAGAGTCGGGGAAGATTGCTATATATAGGATTTTTGGAATACCGCCGCAAATATGCATTGCATAAACCAGCGGTCCAGTTTGTATATACTGGCGGTTTGAAACCGCCGCTATTTTTATGCGGCACCATCTGTTTTACTGGCACGTTGAAACTGCTAATTCCAAAGCCACCATAACTTCTATAATGTTTTAATCCATTTTTATATTTTTCAACACTCTATTACTTTGTGGTACTAGTTTTGACACATATAATAGAATAGAACGATTGATTATAAAAATGACTTTTCGTATATAAAAACCAAAAGTATTCCAAACTACATCATCAAATGTGTTATAATTTCAGGAGTAATACTTTACATCAATTCAACACAATAACAAAAATAACTGTAATAAATCCTAACTAGAGATACTGTTCACCAAACACTCGCATACATAGTTATTCCCATCTAGTAATCTTCTTGGGTTGTTAGGTGATGGAGGCTACTTTCTTTATCCTGTGCCTCCAAAATAAATTGTAGCAATAAGTAACCAAAATTCAATCATGATAGATACAGAAGAATGGTAGTAATTGAATTTTTTTCAATGCAATTAAAATTTAGACTGTCGTAAACACAGAGAATGAGATCAAAGGAGAATTGCAACACAGTTAATTAGTTACCAGATCAGACATAAAGGTACTGTCAGGATCATTCATAATTGGAGAAAGAGTCCCATCATAATCTAAAAACACGACGATACGTTTCTCCTTTGCTGCACTTATCATCTCTTGGAAGTAGCTCAATGCTGAAGGGTGTTCTTTCTGAAACAAAAGCTTATATGTGAGACTATCTAAAGTTAGGGTCAATAACAATAAAGATAGATTAGTAACAATAGAATAGTTTGCTTGTTTTGCTTTCTTATCTTCATAATCCATATCATGACCAAAAACAGTGTCATACCAGCTTAAAGCAATTCTATATCCCTGCTTGTAATTCGATGCAACACGCAAAACCAATTTTATCACATCTATAATGCAATTCTACCACATAATTTGGGACTATTTGGAGGGCTCTGCCGTGCCAGAAGCTACCCAATGGACAAATCGAATACTCTCTTGTGTATCTGTTACTCCTATTATTCATGGACTTGAAAATTAACAACTCCTTACATTTTATAGTAGTATATTATTATTATTAAAAGATTAATCGCCAACTTTTTAAAGACATTTCAATTTTTTTGTGAAACTTTCACAAATAATTGAACACGTACACCTCAGGGGGTTATTGTCATAAAGGAAAACTTCAAGACATGAACGAAATTGAGAAGTAAGGAAAAGTGAGGGTACAGCTCGAACTAGAGCTAAAAATAACGGTGGAAGTTGAAAAGCATATATATTTCCATCAGCTCCTCTGTTTTCATTTACGTCTCTCTTCAGAACATAATTCATACTAAATACTTTCTAAGGCAAAAATTTCAAGAAATTCACTGTCTAAAATGGAAGACAATTCAGGGCTCCGTGAACCGTTACTAGAGAACATAAAATGAAAAATAACTCTGCACAGAGGAAAGGAGAGGGTAGAATTCCATACCTTGGTGTTGGGATTCAAAAGTTAGGAAAAGAGGAGGAGGCTACCAACTTCCTTACGAATCTATGCACCAACTCCAACTCCCAGTCACTTGCAATTAAAGAAGCACAACAGATCCATAGCTCGGTAACGCCGCGGCCAAATCCAAGAGATATCATTGTTTTTCGGCAAGTTGAAATTACCTTCTCATCAACTGTTTATATGGCCCTGTATAACCTGTAGATTCATTGCGTAACGAAAATACATCTCACTAAAATGTCATTGCCACTTTGATCTCACATAATTTTGTTTGGTACAAAGAGGGAAAATCCAAGACAAAATTAATGAAAAAGCAACAATATGGAAGATGATGGACTAATAGAATGTCTCCCAAGGAAATTAGGAACCAAAATGCTACCTGATGACACAAGGTTATTGCCTTTTCCAAAATAAATTTTCACTAGCAATTTCAAAATTCTACCTCATGATAGTGACTCCGACTCGCTAAGGTGAGAGAGAGGACGGCTCGGGATTTGGACCAAGTGAGGTGCATAAAAGATGAGGACGGCAAAGTTTTGTTGGGGGATGACCAGATTAAGAGGAGATGGCAGACCTACTTTCATAAACTTCTAAATGAGGAAGGAGATCAGGATATTGTACTAGGTGAATTGAGGAATGCCGACAGCCCCCATGAACTAAGTGATTGTCGGGACATTGAGGTCGATGAGGTCATGGAGGCAATGCGTAAGATGAGAAGGGGCAGAGCTACCGGACCAGATGAAATTCCGGTTGAGCTTTGGAGGTGTGTGGGTAGAGCAGGCTTGGAATGGCTTATTAAGTTGCTTAATGTTATATCCAAGACTAATAGGATGCCCGAAGAGTGGAGGTGGAGTACAATGGTCCCGTTGTATAAGAACAAAGGCGATATTCAGATCTGTAACAACTATAGGGGTATTAAATTACTAAGTCATACCATGAAAGTCTGGGAGAGAGTGGTAGAAATGAGAGTGCGAAGGACG